GTTATCCGGCACTCGGGCCTTCTGGGTGCGGCCCCCCGTGTCAGGGCCCTCGGCACCTGCGGGGAACCGTCCCGTCCCCGCCCTATCAGGGCCCTCGGCACCTGTGGCTCGGGACTGAGGCGCCGCCGTTGTGCCGGTTGTGTGGCTGTTCTGATCACGGCGAGGGCGTTGTGCACGCTGGTTCTGCCGTCCCCATCCTTGTTCCGCCGAGGATGGCCGCCACCTGGCCTGTCCCCCCCCTGTGTCAGGGCCCTCGGCACCTGCAGGAGGGGGCTTCTGTGCCTGCTTGGGGCGTTTGCGCCCCTTCTCGCCCCCCCGGGCCTTATCAGGGCCCTCGGCACCTGAGGCCTCTCGGGGGGTAGGGGTCAGCGCCCCTAGTCAACCCGGGCAGTCCTGCGGGAGGTGGTCCCCCAGGCAGATGCGGCCCATTGCCAGGATGAGGTTGCACTTGTGGGTGCGGCCGCAGTTGCCCGGGCAGCGCCCGCGCATCCAGTTGTTACAGAACTGGTTCCCTTTCGGGTCGGTGGCTGCCTGCTTGCTACCGCCCCGGGACGCCTGATTGTTCAGGTGGGGGGGCTTACCCTTCCCTTTGTTCCCAGGCTTGCCCTTGGGCTTCCCCTTGCCCTTGGACTTGTTCTTGCCCTTCTGAGGTGGTGCGTAGTCCATGGATGTCCTGGTTGGTGGGCGGCCCCTGGAAAAGGGCTTGATCTTCTCGTAGACCTCACGTGTCCAGAACAATGTGTCCTGCCTGACCGACAGCATGGCCGCCTTGAGGGTGTTGCCCTCATGCATCTTCTCGTGAATCTTTCGCCATGCGTTGCGTTCGGCAATTGCCAGGACGTGGTCCTCTGGCGGGGGAAAACGGCCCCCGATGTCCTCACCATAGAACCACTCGTACCAGCTCTCCAAGTCCTCCCGGGTGATGTCGAACTGGCCGAACTGCGGGAACGAGAGGACGCACATGAGGAGGGTGTTGCGGAACACCGCGTGCATCCTCTCGAGCTGGTGGCGAGTTTTGGGCTCGCCCCGCTCTTCCACCTCATCCTCCCGGTCCCAGCCATCAACCGTGCTCTTCTTAGTGGTCTTCCATGGCCGTTCTCCTGGCTCCGGGAGTGCGCTTACCAGGTATTTCATGGGGATGAAACCGATCTCGCCTCCTGCGCAGAGCTTGAACTGGCGCTTCACCAGCTGGTCGCTTCCTTGAAGGGCCAGCTTGGGTTTGGTGAGCTTGGTCTTCTCCTCCCAAACCCTCTCCAGCTGTCCCCGTTCGCACGAGACCGTGAGATTCGGGGCGGTGTCCCCGGGCGTGTGTGGCCCGGGTCCCGCTGTTGCATGCGCCCCAACTCCCATGGATCGTTGAGCCGCGTGAACCACCTGGAACATGCGGGCCGCGATCAGCCGGGAGGTCACATCCGTGTAGTGGTGGTTGTTGGGGGCGAAGCCCAACTCCCCCGGCGCCGTCTCCCTTGCACGGTCGGGCGAGTCCCACCGGGTCGCGAGGTCCTCCATCGAGACAAAGCCCTCATCCGACAGTGTCGCTTGGATGAACCACGGGATGCCCTTGAGGACCATGAGGTTCCTGGCGGTCTTGTGGAGCTTAGCCACTGCGTCCGTGTACACTCCAGGAACTTCCTGTGGTGGTGCCACCAACTCATCTGGTGTCGCCGCCATGGTGTGGGTGGGCGGGATTTCAAATCACAAGACCAAAGATCAAAAGGTCCACTTGAGCCAAAATGGTGGCCCAAGTGGATACTTATTAAGAGTCAAGACAAGCGACCACCTACGGTTAACGCTTTAGCCCAGACTCTTCAAAGCACCACATTGGTGCTACTGGTACCTTAATCGCGAAACGGTGCATCCTTTACGCCGCATAAGGATTAGTGCCAAAATGGGAGGATTGCCCAGCTCCACTGGGCAGCTCCCCTCAGCAGCTGATGGGAGTAGAATTGATGCCATCCCCAACGGACGGATCGCATCAGCTGCCAATACCAACGGACGAGCTGGTCGTTGGGGAGGTCCTCCCTCCAGTCCCGTTGTCGCATTCCAGGGCCCTCGGCACCTGTGCGTCCAGCGGTCCGGCTGCGGTCCACCCGGTGCGGACCCCGTCAACCCGCCGTCTGGGATGCCCGGGGACATCTCAGGGCCCTCGGCACCTGTGTCCCCTGGTTCCCCGGGGCACTGGCCCCCTGGGATAGGGGTGAGAACATCTCAAGGCCCTCGGCACCTGTGTCTCCCCCCCTCCAGGCCCCTTCGGGGTTGCGTGTCAGGGCCTTCGGCACCTGCGCTCCCCGCTGGCCGCGGGGCTGGGCCCTGGGGGGGTGCCGGGGAGGGCGTATCAGGGCCCTCGGCACCTGCGCCCTCTCCCCCTGCCTCCTTGCCTTGAGGCATGGGGGAAGCGTATCAGGGCCCTCGGCACCTGCGCTATCCACCCCTCACTCAATTTCCGGGAGGACGACCGCCTCCTTGTCCGACTGAGTGTCCACGCTCTCGTCGGTGTCCGAGGAGAGGGAGATGGAGGCCTCGGAGTCCTGTGCTGCGTAGGGCTCCACGGCCATCCACGTGTTCGGGAAGGTGAAATGCCGGAAACATCTGGTGCATCCCAGGTACACCTCCGGCTCAGCATGGAAGTCCTGCTCCGCCAGCTCCGAAATCTTGAGCGGTCCCGGCCTCCAGCCGCACCCCACTGTGACTCCATCTGTGTCCAGTAGGTGCATGCTGTAAGCTTTGGTGGGACCCTTTCGGGCCGTGGTGGCTACCACCGTCAGTGGACCCCGAGGCGGGGGCACCTCATCCGCCGCCGTCTTGGTGATGGCCGGCTTGTTGGCGGGGATCACATCCCAGCTGGCATTCGAGGGCGGCGTGTCCGGGACTTCCTTGAACAAGGCCTTCGGTGAGGCCGGGCACTCCACCTTGTCCTCCCAGTCCTCATGTCCGAGGTCGACTCGGACCGCCCTCCCTGCCTCGAGTTGCATGGACGGGAGCTTCTGGAGGACCTGGTCCCAGATGGAGCACACCACGTGTCGCTTCTCCCGGGTGTAGACATCCGCCGTGGACTCCTTGAACCAGTTTCCCAGGTACTGGCGCTGGTCCCTCGGTATGTGCGCCTGGAATGCCAAATCCGGCATGAAGACCCGGAAGGAGTACCATGAGAGTTCAGCCACGTCCTTGGCTGGCGCGCCCTGCTTCCCCAAGGCGTCTTTGAGCCACCTCAGGGACCTGTCTGGGGTTCCTGGGCGGGGGATGAAGCCCGTCCTGTCCTTGTTGATCGTGGGGATCAGGTAGTCCATCTCGCGGAACTCCTCCGAGGCCCTGAATCTCTTCCACCACCGCTCCAAGGGGATCCACCATCTGGCCCCCGAGAAGGAGAACAATGGGGCGATGAGCGGGACCGGGTTCCGTTTGATGGCCACTGCCGACGTGGTCTTCGTTTGCCAGGCCAGCAGCTCCAGGGTGTTGCTCGTGGACTTGACCGTCTGCGGCGAGGTGTGCTGCACGTCGTTGAAGCGCGCACTGCAGGCCAGGTTGAACCTGGCCATCGCCATGATGTACCTGTCCACTGCTTTGGTCAGCTCCGGGACCCGGTTCTCCGGCGGGGCCCCTTCTGCCCCTTGTTCCAGGGCCCAAACAATTGCCCGGGTCGGAACCACCGCCTTGCGCTGTGGCTTGACCTGGGTGTCCACCAGCGTCTCCTGGATGGCTTTCCGCTTCTCCAGGAGTTGTTTGTGTTCGTCAACGTTGAGCATGCCGAGTTTAATGGAGAGCCACTTTAAAGTGCCCCACCACTTCTGGAGCTTCGCCGGGGTGACCTCCAACGTGACCGCCTGGTTCATGAGGTGCCGGACGTCGCCAGCCGTCCAGGGGAGGTTCTGGAAGCCGATCTTGCGCATGCCCTCATAGGCCAAGCAGTGTGCCCGGATGGTACGGAACCGGGCATCACCAAAGAGGTGGCCAAACTCCTCCAGCTCCCTGGCCCCCATCACCTGGTGCATGTAGGGGATCTGGTGCCGGAAGGGGATGAAGTATCCCAGGAGGCGTTCCAACCACCTGGCCCTCAAGTGTTGTTCCAACGCTCTCTGAGATGTCGGCAATTGGGTTTTGATCTTCCCTGGTTTCCAATGCCGCCACTTGTTGGCCACTGCCAGGACATCCGGGGCCTCAATCGATCCGGAAAGGATCCACTCTTCGCGGTCCCGGATGGCCTGTTCCATTTCCAGTGGAGAATAGGTGTGCGATTGCCTGGCGCCTGCCGCACGAAACAGAAGTTGTTGCAGGGTCTTAGTAGCGAGCTCCAAATCCGCCTCCTCCAGCGGTTGTGGTTGGGAGCCGAGTATCCTCGCGAGGATCAAGTTGTAGGTGTCCGAGGCCACCAGGACGTGGTTGCCGTCAGGTGCCAGCCCCACGATCCGTGTCCACGGCCGCGGGTCAAAGACCACCGCATCCGGGTTGGCGACCTTGTCCTTTTTGACCCATTCCAGGCAGCACGCCACGAGGATTTCCCCGTCCGACTGCACTGGTGCAAATCCCAGGTCATGCAAAATCAACTGGAGCGCGGTTGGCGCCCCTAGGAAGGTCGTCCCAAACGGGGAAGGGAGGCGGGGCCTCCACATCATCATGATCCACTCGAGCCGGGGGCTTAGTCCCTAGGTGCCAACCCCAACCAAACAACAGGGGGGGGGGGGCCCCCAAAACCCCGGAAAGTCAACCCCGAAACGGAGGGAACGGGGGAAAAAGGGGGGACCCAGGGAGCCGCCCCGAAAAGGGAAAACCAAACAAGAGAGGGGAACCAGGCGCACCCCGGATTAGCCCAAGCCGCGCCAATTTTCCTCGCCTGGTGCAGGTCTGGGCCTGCGCTGTTCCCTGGGGGGGGATATCAGCGCCTTCGGCAGCTGTCCCACCCCCAGGGTGCGCTGCGCATCCGTTCCGGATGGCCGCGGTTCTGGATGATGTGCCGGAAGATGGCGTTGTCCCGCATCATCACGCGGCCCTCTTCGCGATGTCATCTATGCGCTTGAGCGCAGCAGCCTCCGGATTCCGCAGAATCAGCTCCCAGATGGCATTGGAGACGTGGCCTGTCTGGGTGGCCTGGCTGAATCTGAATCTAGGCACCTTCTGGTCGGGGCCGAGGGCTCCACCCGGCGGTAGTACTCCAGCCGCTCCTTCACCCAGCGGTTGTAGAGGCCCTCCGGCGGCTCGTCCAACACCAGCTGCAAGATGGCCTTGCCGGCCCGGATCTGGAGGAGGCGGGTGCCCCCTCCCCCGGCACGCCAGTACCCCTTGCAATACTTGCACATGTAGCCCCCTTTCGTCTTCGGGATGAGTTCCCACGGGGTGACGGAGCTCAGGACCAGGCCACACTCCATGTGCGCCCAGAAGACATGCTTCATCTCCACCGGATAGTTCTTCTTCCGGTAGACCTTACCCACTACGCCGTGGACGTTGTCCGCCGTGATGGGGGGGTAAACGATCCCCTCATCGCCCTCGCCTCCCCTGGGGCGGATGTCAGGGCCATCGGCACCTGTCCGGCACCCAGGGGCGGAGGGGTCCAGGCCCATCAGCTTGATCATGTCGTTGGTGTAGCCGAGCTTGCGGTAGATGGAGGGGGCCACTGAGTCGGGGACTGCGCCGACCCACCACTGCTTCGTGTTGCAGCGCCAGTTGACCTTCACCTCCGCCAGGGCCCCCGGGCCTCCAATGCGGTCCATGAGGGCCTTGTACACCTCTGGGAACTGCTGGAGGCTCTCCACCGGGACCGAGATGCCCTCGTCGCATACCGCCCGCAGGATCATCTGCTCCTTGGAGTCCGCCACGTCCTGGACCGGGAGCTGCATCACCTCCGCCGGGGGTGTCCGTGAGGAAGGGCCGCGAGGACCTTGCCCATGGCCCGGTAGACCAATCGCCACTCCGGTCCTGTCTGCGGAAACGGAAGGCCCTCCTCCTTCAGGAAGCACCGCGCGTCCTCCTTCAGGGTCTCCCAGCCCTCCAGGCGGGTCTGATTCTGGGCCTTGTTTCTCGGGCCCCGCTGCCTAGGGCCCTGCAGCAGAGGCAGAGACTCCCAGACTCCCCAGAGCTGGCGCAGGGTGTAGCTGTGCCCGAACATCCCCAGTAGGCCTGGGAGTGTCCAGGACGAGATCTGGCGAATCCAGTGGAATCCTCATCCGGATCGTGGGGGGCAGCCCAAAAGATGGATCGCAGGTCCCCAGGGTAGGGTCGGTCCCCCGCCTTCGCCTGCTGGTTCAACTCATCCACGGAGTACCTGGCCCAGGGGAGTCCACCCACCTGGTGGTTCCTGGGATGCGTACCCTTCTCCAACGCCTCCGGATTCACCTTGGTGAGGTTTTCCGCCCAATCCGGGACGTGTACCGGGCCCGGTCGTCGGACCCAGCGGCCCGCAAAGATACGGACCTCTCCGACCCGTTTGCTCATCATCCAGCGCAGGACCGAGAGCTGCACCTCCGGGTCCTTGGTGTCCAGGCCCACCGGGGTGGCGGACGGCTTGTCAGGGCCCTCGGCACCTGAGCTCGTCACGCCAGAGCCCGAGGCTGAGGAGATGGTGGGCGGCCTGTCAGGGCCCTCGGCACCTGGGCGCGCCGCACCAGAGCCCCCCGCCTTTGGCATGGGGATCCCTGCCAGGTCCGGCAGATCTGACAGGAGGGCCGCCGGGAAGGGATTCCTACCCAGCGAGATGACCGCCTTGGCCTCAAGGTAGGAGTCCGTGAGCGATGTGAGGTCGTCCATACTGAAGTCCCTCCATGCCGTTGTCGGCTCGAAGACCCCAGTCTCAATGGCGACCCGGACCTCACTGGGCCACGCACTGAAGGGAGGCGCGATGGGCGCTAGCATCCTGGTTTCGAGGGCGCCCTTCGCCTGTCTGGCTTGGTGTTTCGCTTTCGCCTCCTCCGCGGTGGTCTGGGCCTGGAGGAGCTCCGGTGTGGGTCTCCCCCAGTCCGCACCCAGCTTGTCCAGCAGCTTCTCACGGAAGAGGTCCAAGTCCAGGTTCTTCAGGAGCAGACCTCCATCACCTCCTCCGTCAATGGCCCCCCCTTGAAGTTCGTGGAGGACCGCCGCGGAGCGCTCCACCGCTTCCACCTGGTCCGCCTTCTTGGCCTCCTCCTGGGCGATGGTGGTGGCGTTGAGCCGGGTCTGAATCTTGAAGGCCTTCACCGCAGACGGGTGGAAGGCTCTGCATTCCTGGCCCTCTTCCTTGTCGCCTGGCAATGGGGGCCTCTCCCCCGGTGGGGCCGTCAGAAACTCCTCGTCCAGCTCCATGGGGCAGTTCCTGATCACCGCCCGGACCGAGGAGGGGACGAAGTCCGAGAAGCTGGCCTGGTCCGGGTTCTCGCAGGCCATCGGGTCGGTGGCCAGCTCGCTGACGTCCACCGAGGCACTGAGCTTGAGGTCGCGGGCCCGGTCCGTGTCAGGGCCTTCGGCACCTGCGGACCGGGCCGCCGTCCAGACCGCATTGCCCTGGTCATCCACCGTCAACTGCCAATGCGTGCCTGCCATCTCCAGGGTGGCCGAGTTGGTCGCCATGTCAATGGGCTCCGTCTTCTTGCCGCACCCCATGCACTTCGTGGCGCCCTTCTTCACCCAGGGCATGGTGCAGCAGGGGCAGATCCAGGATGTGGGCACCTTGCCCAGGGGGCGGTTCTCCAGGCCCCCGTACCCCAAGCCAGCGCGCTTGCCAACCTGCTGTCCCGGGGTGCTGAGCCGGGCCTCATGCTCGTACTTCATCTTGGCGATGTAGAAGGCCTCCACAACGCGCTCCAGGCCCCCCTGCTTGAGTTGGGGGCCCTCAAAGCCTCGCAGGAGCCGCTGGACGTCCCTGGCCTGCAGTCGGCGGAGCCTATTGGCCGTGGTCGCATCGAAGCAAGGGAAGTTGCCCGCCATCTGGTCGTCGCTGAACTGGTAGAGGCCCTCCGAGACCTTGAGGGCCTTGGTGAACACGCTCCCCCCCGGCGGGGGGGCTGCGGGGTTCTCATCCTCCTCCGAGGACGCCGCTCCTTGACCTTCGCCATCAGCTCCCGGCGCCTCTGCCACTTGGCGTCTGCCCGGGCATCCAGGCGGGTCTCTTCCAAGCGGGCTGCAGCCGAGGGGGACCTGGGCATCGGCAGCTCCTTCTCGTCCTGCGCCCGGAGCTCCTCCATGGGCACGTCCTCCTCCGGCGGGTTCAGGAGCTCCAGGAACGCCCCTGAAGGCGTGTCAGGGCCTTCGGCACCTGCGCCGCCCCAGGGGCTGCATCTTCCATCGGCTCATCCTCTGCCTTGCGCTTGGCCGGGATAAGAGGGGTCTGCTCCAACTCATCTGCGCTGGAGAAGAAACGCTCGTCAGGTGCCTGAGGGACCTCGGCAGCCAAAACGGTCCATCCTTCTTCCTCCCTCTTCACGAGGCTCGCCAGGTACTTTGCCATGGAGGCCTTTGCCTTAGCCTTAGCCTCTGCTACCGCGGCACCAGCATAGGCGGGGGCGTACATGGCTTTGAGAGAGGGGAAAGAAAGATTTCAAATCACACGACCAAAAGATCAAAAGGTCCACTTGAGCCAAAATGGTGGCCCAAGTGGATACTTATTAAGAGTCAAGACAAGCGACCACCTACGGTTAACGCTTTAGCCCAGTCTCCGTGTCTCCGTGTCTCCGTGCCTCCTGTGTGTCTGTGTGTCTGTGTGTCTGTGTGTCTGTGTGTCTGTGTGTCTGTGTGTCTGTGTGTCTGTGTGTCTGTGTGTCTGTGTGTCTGTGTGTCTGTGTGTCTGTGTGTCTGTGTGTCTGTGTGTCTGTGTGTCTGTGTGTCTGTGTGTCTGTGTGTCTGTGTGTCTGTGTGTCTGTGTGTCTGTGTGTCTGTGTGTCTGTGTGTCTGTGTCTGTGTGTCTGTGTGTCTGTGTCCGTGTGTGTCTGTGTGTCTGTGTGTCTGTGTGTCTGTGTGTCTGTGTGTCTGTGTGTCTGTGTGTCTGTGTGTCTGTGTGTCTGTGTGTCTGTGTGTCTGTGTGTCTGTGTGTCTGTGTGACTGTGTGTCTGTGTGTCTGTGTGTCTGTGTCTGCGTGTCTGTGTGTCTGAGTGTCTGTGAGTCTGTGTGTGCTTGTGTCGGTGTTGTGTGTGTGTGTGCGCGCGATGTGTGATATGTGTTTTTGTCGCCGGGTGGGTCTGTGGATGGTCGAGCGGCTGGGTGTATGTATACGTACATACTTATATATATATATATATATTTGCGCCTGTGTGTGTGTGTGTGCATGTGGACGTCTCCGTGCTTTGTTGTGACACATCCAAGGTAGCTGCGCAGAAACCATCTGTTTGCATTAAGAACACAAACTTGTCAAACAAGCACTCAAGTCATTCAACTCTCCCGTGTGGCCCAAGAAGGCCAATTTGAATGATGGGGTCAAGTTGCCCTGTTTCATTCACGCTCGCCTGACTGCGGCTTCCGTAATCCAGCCACTGGGCGTGTGCACAATTTGCTGCGAAACCATGGGTTGTATAGCTTGGGCCCTTCACCTCAGAGGTACATGACAAAGGCCTTGATGCTCACAACCGATCCTGTCCTCGCGCTTGAAGAAACGGGCAAACATGGCTCCACACGCGAGGGGTGCTCTGTACAACCCACGAATTGCTGCTTGCGACTGAGCCATCAGCGCGTCGCAGCAAGCAACAGCTAGCAATATACTCAAATTCCGTACCAAGCCACACAATCAAAAGATGTGCGGCATAGACAATTGTAGCATGTCACCTGTAGAACTCGGCCAATGTGAGACATATGTCATGTGAACTGCCATGGGCCTGCCTTTTTTGGGGATCAAGAATCTCATTGGCAAGCAAGCGAGAGCTGATCGCAGTTGCTGTGATTCTCTATCTCTCTCTCACTCGGCATTCGAACTTGATAACTTCACAACATCCCCAAAGGTGCTAAGCCTAGGGCATAAAATTAACTACTGCATGTTCACCAATTGAACACCTATATGAGCAAAACCTGGTAGTCAAAGTCGGTCTAATAGCCCAATGTAAAGACCAAACGTGCGCCCATTCACGGTTTCATGGCTGGGACAACACCGCATCTACCCAAGCTTGCATTGTGGCTCCCCTGGCACGCGGTGATCACGCTGCATTTGTGTGTCCATGTAAAATTTATATGTATGTCTGTAAACTTTGCGTGTAAGGTGCATGTGTGCGTGTGTGTCCGTGAAAATGTGTGGATGTCTGGATACTCTGTGTGTCTGTGGAAAGAGTGTGTCCGTGTGTTTCTTTGCGTGTGTGAGTGTGTCTGTGCGAACTTCTGGTGTGTGTGTGTAAGTGGAATTTGTGTGTTGTGGTCTTGTTGTGTGTGAGGGGCTCACCCCGGGCGCGTTTCAGTGGGAGCTTTTGCAAATCGCCAGCCACAACTTTGCAGGATTCCCGACATTCATCTTGAGACTTTAAGCATGAATTCCCACACCAGAAGGTAGACCCAAAGACATGATGTAGTAACAAACCTGCAAGAACAATGGGGTGTCCTTGTCTGGATGGCTCTTTGCCCTTTTTTTTTCCGCTTTAAACACCATTCAGGCGCCTTTCTGTGTTGGCTGGTTGCCTTCGGCTCGATCCTGCCTGGCCCTGCATGAGTCGGCCGCTGTGAGCCCCGAAGGCCAGGAAATAGCCACTTCCAAAGGCTGACACTGCGACCTGGGAACATCCCCTGGGATTTCAGTCAGACCTCCCAAAACGGCCGAAAAAACGAGGCGGGTCCAGCTGCATGCTGAAGCTTTACTCTGACAGGTGAGAATAGCAACCCGCAGTTTGCCAGAAGGGGAGTGGATATTGATGGCAGAAAGGTCACAACGGCCGGTATCCTGGTGCTTATGGGAAATCCCAGCCCAAGAAACACAAAGTGGGTTCAATATCCTACTGGTACAGAACAAATACTCCTGTGACCAACCATCTTCAGTCTCTATTAGGACAGTTGCCCACAACTAGAAATCGTTTCAGGCCACAAGGGCGTCGGGAGAAACAACCGCGGTGGACACTTGTCCAGACCCTAGGATCCACGAGTTACGGGGTTCTTCCCTTCCTGCTCAAAAGGTGGAAGACTTGCTTGTTGGGTTGGACAAGCCGCACTCAATGCAAAAACATGTGTCCGGATGTGTCCCCAAAAGAAATGATAGGAGGGTTCCCTGGGCGTGCTGCAAAGAGCCTCAAAGTAGACGGGCTCCTTTGGGATGGCTTCAAACAGAAACGAGAAAACCACACACTTGGAGGTGACAAACTTTGAGACACACCCATAAGGAAACAGCCACGGCCTCAACACGGTTGAGGATGCGTCAAAATTGGATAGGCAGCATGCCACAACACAAAACAGGTTGGACCAATGCATGGGTTGACTTCCAAAAGCACACAGACACGAAGTCAGCCAGTCGGAAGACTGCGTTTGGCTCCTGTTGGACGCAATCCCATCTAAACCATGGCCAAGCTGCACTAGTTGCTGATGTGCAGTCTTCACCTGAAGCGAGGTTTGAGAATATGCAGCAACTTGTCATTCTCTGGAAAGTCAACATGAAAGGTCGCACGAATGAAACCCTGGAAATGATTGCCTCAAAAAACTACAAGCATCGCAGCATCGAATGATTATCATTACCTAATGTGCCAATGACTGGCCGTAGCTGCAGATGGCAAAACCCTATTGAGATGGGTGACAAACATGAAAATTACGACCTGGTGCAGGATGTTCTCCATCCACAGTGAGGATTCTTAGGAGACACACCCTCCTACTGATGAAACACATGCATGTCTCTTTCTTGGAGATCTCTTGGGATTTTCATATTGATGATCAGGGAAGTAGGAATTTGAATGTTACGTTCCCTCCCACTAACATGGCAACTGATAGGAAGGCCGCGTCAGAAAATTGACCTTCCAGCACTCCCACTGGCGCTATGTGCGAGGGAGGGCGATCTTTCCAGCCAAGGACCTCTGTGAGTTTGAAGGGAAGCCCATGCAGCAACAAAAACGAGCACCAGGCATCCATCCGAGTGCCGGGCTGTCATGCACCGGCTGCTCCTGGCAGAAAAAATGCAGACCTCCGCCGAATTGCGTGCGCCCTCTGAAAAAGAACCGCCCCCTCAAAGGCCCTCAAGCAGCAAATAGGGGTGGCTTGGGCCGATTCCGCGGGTCCGGCTTTGGGACGAGTGATGCGCATTTTCCTTACTCACCTTCAAACATCCGAGCAGGAAGCTCGTCAGAACTTGGGCCATAACGTGAAGCTCAAGAACCGCCTGTCAAGTTGTCAAGGAAAACGCAAGCCCCGTTCTTGGCCCACATCTGGGGTACACAGCAACACATATGGCCTGATTCTGCTTTATGTTTAGTCTACCCTGAAAACAGCTTGCAAGGGACACCAGAAAGGTCCCGGAGTCGCCTTCCAAAGCAATTACGTCAGATTCTTGAAAGCAAGAAGGACGCCGGCATGCCTCGACGCTAGCACCTTTGTTGCTCTCCCCGCCTTTGCAAATGGTCTAACCTTTTGTAGGCTAAACGGAAAAACCGGTTTCCAAACACTTGGAGGGCTAAGGTGACAGCAAAGACCAGCCATGGGGAAGTCAATTCACAAACATGCAAGTACGTGATAGGTGGCAACAGGGTGCCAAGGTGTTGCGAGGTTGTGGCTCTTCGGTCACGACTGGGATGGGCCATTTGCTAATGGCCGACCAGGGCTGTTCCCAGATCCCCTGGCAAAAGTCTAACTTTTAGTGGTTCAATGGAAACTAGCTTCACTAACCGTAAAAGCCCAAAAACCTAAAAACCTAAATCTAAAAACCTAAAAACCTTAAAACCTAAGGAACAGGATGGCTGCGAACCACCAAAACAAGGGGAACCCGAGTGACAAGGACTCCGTCTCCAGCGAGCCTCGCCTCGGAGAAGCTCAGACTCTCCGACACGAGACGCGAGCGCAGGCAGCCAGAGGCGACATAGGCGATCAGTGCCTCGCTGGGAACACGGAAGCTGCAACCCGACCGGAACCAATCTCTGCATTTGCTTCAGTACCCCAGACAAAAACAACATGTCCAGAAGTGATAGATTCAAATTCCCCCTCCAAAAGAAAAACGAGAGCATTTAGTACTATTCTTTAGGCAAGTGGAAGCCATCAGAACCCATCTGATTGTTGGTTCGCTGTAAGGATCAAAGGCGACCGCTTTCTCACACGCACCGACGCAACAACAAAACAGCCAAAGGCGGCAAACTACCGAGCTACCAAGCAGCACCTCAACCAATCAATCCAACATCCCAGCACCGACCCAACTATGCAACAATACAATACAACAAGCCGTCAAACTGACAATCCAACAACCAAACAACCTAACAACTTAACAGCCTTACAACAAATCAACTAAAATGACAAACAACAAAAGACTAAGCAACCCAACAACACAACCAAAATGACAAACAAATAAGCAACCCAACAACAAAGCAACCGATCACATCCGCTTCATCTCCCGCAATATTGGCGCCGCTCGTGGCTGCCGCTGCCTGGCCATTCATGGCCCCAACTGCCACGGCCGCCACATCACCCTCCGTGAAGGTCGCAGAAGCAGAGATCGAAGGTGGTGATGACGGCCTCGACACGAATCACAGCCCCAGGGCCCAGGGTAAAGATGTCCATATCGCTTTGCTACATGCTGTGAGCATTTGTCAACACCGGACACCCCCGAATCTTTTTTAGACTGGGCCTGTGGACCTGGGTAAACTGGTTCTTTGCGCCAACGGCGGGTACAAGTGCCGCACACTGACCCTGGATGTTCCTGATTACTTGTACCCAGGGTCTCTGTAGTCAGCAAGTCAGAGGGATGATACAGGTTGCCGCCCAGCCAGCGTATATAATAGTACCCTGAAACTGTAGAATTCCTCTGTAGGGTTGGCGCAGGGCGGCCTCGGCTCAAAAAAAATGGCAGGGTAACTGCACACGCTCGGCCTTGGAAGGCTGACGTGGTGCCGGCACGTGCGTGGCACTGAGGCAACAGGCGTCAGGGCGGTCTGTTTGTCTAGCCAAGGCCTGCAGATACGCTTCCTTTTGCTTAAGCCACCTGGTAAAAATATATTTCTAGTAGTGATGATTTCCTTTTAAAACCAACAAGGGAAAATAAAACATATTCTTAAGCAAATGGAGGTACGCCTCCGGAGAAAGAGTCTGCGCGGCCTGCCCCAAAGGCATGGGTACCGAAGTGCTTGCGCAAGAATGCAATACATTCAACGTGCAATGCCACGACTCGGCCATGACCATAGCTCGCAAAGGTCCGGACAATCACAGGGGACAATTCTGATGTCACGAAAGCTCAGCAACCGCATGCACCAGCAGAAGCAAGCGACAGCGAGGAAATGCAAGCAAACGCAGGCTGTTTGTTCGTTCGCACCAAGATCTAGATTCGAGCTACATGGGCCATTGCAGTGAAGCCCCTTTAGGATTGGATTGAACAGCATTTTGCAGCCAGCAACAGCCATATGGCCATAAGCCATGACCATGCAGTAGTTCACACACCTGAAATTAGAATAAATAAGAAAACCGTCAACAAATGGACCTTCATCATGGGTGAGTTCGCTTTGTCCCTGGTCAGCTAGTTGAAACATGCACATGATTGGATACGCACAAAAATGTACCATCTGAATCACCGGCTCTGTGCTGCAAAGGTGCTGAACCAGGAACGCCTAGCGGGAGCGCAAGCCGCGCAAAGCTTGGGTCACTGGGCGGCTACACCAGCTTTGATATTGTGCGTAACCCTGAACATGTTTGCAGGCCAAACGGAAACAAATCAGGTCCTCCAAGCATTTCATGTGTTTGTCCATAGTAGATTGCTTGTGCCCTCAACAGACTATATATGTGTGTCCTCTTCAAATTTCATTTGTTCGACAGCCAATCAAATATTTCTGGCTACAAGACAAGCGGCGATGCATCTAAAGCCGCCAACATTGCAAGCTTGGAGCCGAGGCAATTGAGGCCGTCTTACCGTTTTGTTTTTTCTCCTTTTTTCTTAAGCAGAATAAACACCATGACAAGAGCCTTGGAGTCATGTCTATGCCAATTCCTTGCAAAATGCAACAAAATAGCGAACCGAAGCTGGGATGGGTTGTGCATGCAGGGGAGGGGAGTTGCTCAGTGACTGACATGTCGGAATACTTAGTATTCACATTGTCCACCGAACAAACTACTCTGATTGAGTGGCCAAGATTCGTTAAGCCGGAGCCTGCAAACGCATGTGCCGAATTCGGAAAGCAAAGCGCGTCTTCAACAGGAACAACAGCTGCTGATGACCGTGGCTTTCGAGCAACAAATGGCCTCAGTGAATTTGAGTCAATGCCTCCCGTCGACGAAAACTACTAGTGGCAACTGACTCAACCAGCTACCGTCAAGACTCCATGAGTCATGGCAGCTTTCGAATCCGTGCCCATGTGCAAGGGCCACCCTACTGCGAGAAAGCGTCTTTATCACGTTTCAAAAAAACAATTGGCATACTTGTGGCTTCCTATGTTTTTTTTGTAAGGGCCACCTGCGGGTGTGACCCCACCTTAACGACCTGTGGGGACCGCAGATGTTGTCTTGTTCTTCAATCGGGGGGTCGGGGCATCCCCATTTTTTAGCCACACTCACCCATGATCATCTCCAAACTCTGGTGACCCGCACCATGATGACGTTCCTTTTGTTTCCCCTTTGACCGACCCACGGACAAGTGTCAAAATGACGAAAATTCAATGGCAATTCCAGTTCCCTCCCAGACCACCCCCAAAAACAGTACTGAGCCTAAAGAAAACACATACCCAGATCCGTACACCTCGTGTCGCAGCTTCACGAAAACGAGCGGACCCCGCCTCCCGGCCGGCCAGCACCAGCGCTGTTCGCGACTGGAGAAAGGCCCCAGCCGTGACTGTGGCTCCTGCCAGTTTCCAGCGGAAGCAACCGCGGATGTTTTTTTTTTTTTTTTTTTTTTTTGTTTTTTTTTTTAACCTGGGTCCACTTTTACATGGGAGGTTCTTACATCAAAGTCTTTTACATGAGAGTTGTTTACAGTTGTTTGTTTTTACCTGGTTCTCCATTGGTCGTCCTTAACATTGGACCAGTGGCCAACTGTTTCAAGTTTTACATAGTTCTCAAATAGTGCTGATGGGATGGGACCATTGGACCATTGGCTACGAATTTGCAGCAAAGTCACCCATGGTCATTTAGGGGGAGTATTGACGAACCCGCGCATCCCCCCATGTTGTTTTAGCAGGTAGCCAATTTTTGGAAAGCTGATCCGAGTTGATTGCCAGGAACTTGCATGATTGAAGTTTCGAGTAGTTTGGGCAGGTAACCAATTGTTTGGTTACTGCTCTAGGTGTTGCATTTTGGTTTGGGTTCCCTACTATACTTTTTCCACGTCATTCACCGCCATTGCCAGTGCCCAAGCCAGTGTTGGTTTCTTACTGGGTCAACTTCTCCGGGCTCTGGTTGTTGGGAATCAAAATCAAGCACTCCACCAGAAACTCTCCCCCTGCAAAACACCGAGCCAAAAGGTTGTCTCCCAAAAGAAGGCCTCTCAAAATTCAGTATTTGTTGTGTTCATGCGAATCTGAAGGAATGCTTCTCTTGGAAGCCAAGCCACTTCATTGTCCAGGTCCTTGAGCACAAGCTCCCGGTCTATACGGAAGCATTTGCTTCCCATCGAACCAGGGAAAGGAAGAAGCTTGGCCGTGCCTTCTGCGGTGGTTTGAAACAGCACAGGGCTCCAGGGCTGGCGTGCTCGAAATGCACCACGATGGCGCCATTGGAGTAGCTTGCGACTCTGAAACGAACCACGTGGCTGCAAGTGAGACATCGCAGAACACAGTACTCACGTCTGCTTGACAGCCTTGATATGCATGAATGCAAAGCCTAGAGATATGCTCTGAATGCAAGGGCCATGAATGCCAAATGCGTTAAGATCTGCTATGAATGAATGGGCAAGTACATGTCGGGTTGTTTGTTGTGTGGGTACCCTCTTCCGGTCTGTTTCAAAGGAGACCAACCGCAAGCCATCCTTTTTGGGGTCCGTTCCCATTATGTTGCCACAAACACACATATCTTTATCACCTTGTTCACATTGGCCAAGCTGAAACAAGCAATGAAAGCCGTGAAAAGATTGGGTGATAAACACTGAGTAAAGCAACATCTGGAGCCACGTGCGGATGCATGCAAATTTGATCCGCTGCCCTAGGTGGCTCATAGCCCAAGAAAGAACCGTTTGCGGCATCCGCATGTCCGCTCCTTCTGTGCTGGGCCGCGTCGCGGGTTCTGAAACCTGGCACGGCGTGGGCGATGGACAGCGTTCAGTCTTTGTTGACTGATCTTAGCGCGTGAATCAATTCCTCATAGACTCATCATGGAACGCGTGTTGGTAGTTTCTAAGTACTATTGGGAAAATATCATTGGAGCTTTACGTGTCAATTTGGTGTGAAGCCCATGTCATTCCAATTTGCTGCATCATATACATATATATATATATAAATCAAATACTAATGCTGGGAATACTGAGCTCATCAAGTAGGGCGTTGGGGTTGACACAATGAGTCGACTGACCAGACACCCCACTAGTTGGCAAACAAGGGATTGATGGCCTGAAAAGCCGGACGGCACCGCACCTTTACCCTTTGTGAAAGGATATTCGGATAAGCTAAGAGCTCTTGCACACCATCCAACTCGCGAAACATGCAGTACAACTAGGTGTTGAGATTTCCTTTCAGCACTATCCACTCAGGACATATTGGTTGTCAACTGTGTTCAAGCAGAAAGCTGAAGTCAATTAGTTGGGGCTCCATGATGTCCTAGAAATCAAGCATCCACACGTGTGGCACTTCCCGATCTATCGCGAGAATGCCGGATTTGACCGGTTACCCTTACGGCGAGAACTTGCAGAACGCCCCTCACGTGCCCACGGATCAACTCTGCTGGCACACATGGTCACAAATCTGAGCGGGCGAGGGGGGAGACTCGGCTTACCTGCACATTGGCCTTTTTAAAGAAGACATCCTGTTGGATAGTTTCAAAGGGAAAGAAATCTGAAAGGACAAAAGGTCGCACTGGAGCCAGAAACGGCACCTTGCCGAACCCGACCACAAAAGAAATGAGTATGTGTCAGAATGGAGTGGATCCCTCAAATGGCTGGTTTCCATGTAGCTTCCGTTTCAACCAACCCTAAAAATGGGTGCAAATGGCTGGTGTCCCTTTAGTTTCCCTTTAAACCAACCCAAAAAAAGGGTGCAAATGGCTGGTGTCCCTTTAGTTTCCCTTTAACCCAACCCCAAAAAAAGGGTGCAAATGGCTGGTGTCCCTTTAGTTTCCCTTTAAACCAACCCCAAAAAAAGGTGCAAATGGCTGGTGTCCCTTTAGTTTCCCTTTAAGCCAACCACAAAAAAGGGTGCAAATGGCTGGTGTCCCTTTAGTTTCCCTTTAAGCCAACCCAAAAAAAGGGTGCAAATGGCTGGTGTCCTTTGAGTTTCCCTTTAAGCCAACCCCAAAAAAGGGTGCAAATGGCTGGTGTCCCTTTAGTTTCCCTTTAACCAACCCCAAAAAAGGGTGCAAATGGCTGGTGTCCCTTTAGTTTCCCTTTAAGCAAACCCCAAAAAAGGATGCAAATGGCTGCCTTTAGTTTCCCTTTAAGCCAACCCGAAAAAAGGGTGCAAATGGCTGGTGTCCCTTTAGTTTCCCTTTCAACCAACCCCAAGAAAGGGTGCAAATGGCTGGTGTCCTTTTAGTCCCTTTAGTTTCCCTTTAAGCCAACCCCAAAAAAGGGTGCAAATGGCTGGTGTCCCTTTAGTTTCCCTTTAAGCCAACCCCAAAAAAGGGTGCAAATGGCTGGTGTCCCTTGGGTTTCCCTTTAAACCAACCACAAAAAAGGGTGCAAATGGCTGGTGTCCCTTTAGTTTCTTTTTAAGCCAACCCAAAAAAAGGGTGCAAATGGCTGGTGTCCCTTTAGTTTCCCTTTAAGCCAACCCCCAAAAAGCGTGCAAATGGCTGGTGTCCCTTTAGGTTTCCCTTGAAACAAACCCCCAAAAATGGTGCAAATGGCTGGTGTCCCTTTAGTTTCCCTTTAAGCCAGCCCCAAAAAAGGGTGCAAATGGCTGGTGTCCCTTTAGTTTCCCTTTAAAGCCAACCCCAAAAAAGAGTGCCTTTAGTTTCCCTTTAAGCCAAAAGGGTGCAAATGGCTGGTGTCCCTTTAGTTTCCCTTTAAGCCAACCCCAAAAAAGGGTGCAAATGGCTGGTGTCCCTTGAGTTTCCCTTTAAGCCAACCCCAAACAAATGGCTGGTGTCCCTTTAGTTTCCCTTTGAGCCAACCACAAAAAAGGGTGCAAGTGGCTGGTGTTCCTTTAGTTTCCCTTTAAGCCAACCCCAAAAAAGGGTGCAAATGGCTGGTGTCCCTTTAGTTTCCCTTTAAGCCAACCCCAAAAAAGGGTGCAAATGGCTGGTGTCCCTTTGGTTTCCCTTCAAGCCAACCCCAAAAAAGGGTGCAAATGGCTGGTGTCCCTTTAGTTTCCATTTAAGCCAGCCCCAAAAAAGGTGTGCAAATCGCTGGTGTCCCTTTAGTTTCCCTTTTAGCCAACCCCCAAAAGGTGCCCTCCAAAAAAAATCCAGCAAAATCACCTTGAACCGGACTGCATCTTGCGCCTGCGGGGCTGAGCCGGGCTCCACGCCTGGGGAAAGAGGCGAGAACACCGCTTCTCGCTGGTCGCTTCTGAAGATACCTTTCAGCGGCCGTGAAAAGGGAGACCAAAGAAACACCTATTTGGACGGTTTTTTTTGCGGTTGGTAAAAGGCAGACCAAAGCAACAACACCTATTTGTGGGAGGTTCCCCCATTGAGACAAACGAAATGAGGGTTGAGAAACACAAAGCTTTCCGACAGCTTGTGTTTGCAAGATAAATCACACACTGACGCTGCGTCAAAATGTTCGTCATTGACACTGTAACACACCTGAGCATGGACCATCGGTCGAGATGTAGCCCAAGATTCAGACTTTGTGATGAATTGGCACGGGTCCGTCAACACGAGTTGGGCCCTGGGTTGGCGTCAGACTCTCTTGCGCTGCTTTGGTGGACATCATTTAGGTGGGGATTCACGTCCACCAACGACTTTTGAGGTGGTTCGGGAAATAGTCAATCTTGCTTTGGTCGGGAACCCCAAACCGTGGGCAGTAGTTGGCTTGGCGGCTTCGAAGTTGGAGACCTAGTTTGGCTCACAAACACTGCGTTCACGGAAACCACCCTGAGCCATTCAAGTTTTGCTCAAAGAAATGCGCCGTGCAGTTTGCCATCGGGGCTAAAGGCATCTGGTCCCAGGATCTCCTTCGTTGACCTTCCCTACAAAATGCCAACTTGGTCTGCTGGGGAGAAGACAACAGCAATCTCGCCTCCTGCAACCTGCCTGAACTAGACAGGACTGCAACTTGGCAGTACACGTGACCCGAGCGAACGGAAAACAAACATGCGGGTGTTGAGCAATTGGTGGACACGATTCTTACAAGTTTGGGGACACGTCTATCCATGTGCTCACGGTCGAAGTGTTGCGTTCCTTGTGGTTGTGCAGTGATTCTCAACCGATTTCCATGTTCGAATCACCTAAGGTACTCCTCTGATGACCGTTTGAAGGTGAGAATGCATGTCCATCAACACATGCCGGTTGATGTGCTAATCGAAACATGTGCTTTTCAAACCGTTAAGGGAAACCGCGTATTTTGGAATGAACCTTGGATCTCCAATTTACTCTTGTTTTAGGATACCTGTTTTGAAATCCACGTGAAACCAAATGGAAGCTCTTTTGCGACAACCATTCAGAGGGATCAGGGTTTCCCATAAATCTCAAAATGGCAAGTTATGGAAACCTGGCCAAACAGGTGATACTTAAACAGGGCTCCCTATACTTGCCCTGAAAACATCACCCCCACCAACACTCGCCTTTCATGGGCCAAGAAAGGTGATGTTTACCACCAAAAAGGGAAATCTAGGGACTCCGGTTGAAAACCGAGGGACAAAACCCCTCGAACCGATCGGGGCTCCGAGCTGTGCAGGGCCAGCTCCCAAGTGCCGCAGGTGCTGGGCCTGTCACCCCGGGTAGCCCCAAGTTCTGTGAGGCCAAGTTGACTTCCGGAAAACCAGAACGGTATGAGGTACTATGTCTGTTGTTTCCCCCTTTTTTGCGCATGGATTTGGCTTTGTGTTGGTTGTTGCTTGTCTCCAGTTGTTTGGGGGGTTGAGCGGATTGTTCTTCTTGGAGAGTCTCGCGTGTTTAGGAGGTGATCCCATGTGACCCCCTAAAAAAAAAAGACTGCTCTCAAACAGCCTGCCCATGTCAGCAACCCAAACCACACGAGACTATCTTAAACAACCTTTAACACAACACTGGAAGGTGTTGGGCAAATTCGGGCTGGAGAGTCTCCAGGAATTTGAGTTTAGTTTTTGGGGCAGTCTCGAGTTGTTTGTTGGGAACACTATCGTGCTTCGTAGGTACAAAACATTTCCAACAAGCCAGGCGTGTCTAACAAGAAGATGAGCGCCACGCAATGTGCTGCGTGCATCATAGAAGTTGTGCTTTACTTTACTTCTGGATTGCTGTCATATTTCCTGATTAATATAATCTCGCCAAAAATAAGAAGTCATAGTACTGCATCAAAGGGTCCAAAGATGAATTGATATCATAAAGAATATACCTATCAGCCTTGATGCTTGCATGATTCAGAAGTGAATGGAATGGTATAGTATTGCATAACGATAAACTAGAAATGACATAAGCTTGATAGTTTGATAATCAATGAATGGGAGTAATCATGTGTATTGTTGACTGAGAACGCATATTCCAGATAGCTGATCGCAACTAGGCCATATTCTTACTCTATTGATGTAAAGGCGGCGGTGTTTTTCCCGAAGGCATCGCGAAGGGTTCTTCCGTGCGGAGCCCTTGCACAAGTTACACAGAGCCAAGTTGCACAGAGCCAAGTTGCACAGAGCCAAGTTACATAGAGCCAAGTTACATAGAGCAAGTTACATAGAGCCAAGTTACATAGAGCCAAGTTACATAGAGCCAAGTTACATAGAGCCAAGTTACATAGAGCCAAGTTACATAGAGCAACATAGAGCCAAGTTACATAGAGCCAAGTTACATAGAGCCAAGTTACATAGAGCCAAGTTACATAGAGCAAGTTACATAGAGCCAAGTTACATAGAGCCAAGTTACATAGAGCCAAGTTACATAGAGCCAAGTTACATAGAGCCAAGTTAGCATAGAGCCAAGTTACATAGAGCCAACTTACATAGAGCCAAGTTACATAGAGCCAAGTTACATAGAGCCAAGTTACATAGAGCCAAGTTACATAGAGCCAAGTTACATAGAGCCAAGTTACATAGAGCAAGTGGCACAGAGCCAAGTTACATAGAGCCAAGTTACATAGAGCCAAGTTGCACAGAGCCAAGTTGCACAGAGCCAAGTTACATAGAGCCAAGTTACATAGAGCAAGTGGCACAGAGCCAAGTTGCACAGAGCCAAGTTACATAGAGCCAAGGTGCACAGAGCCAAGTTGCACAGAGCCAAGTTACATAGAGCCAAGCTACATAGAGCCAAGTTGCACAGAGCCAAGTTGCACAGAGCCAAGTTACATCATAGAGCCAAGTTACATAGAGCCAAGTTACATAGAGCCAAGTTACATAGAGCCATGTTACATAGAGCCAAGTTACATCGAGCCAAGTTACATAGAGCCAAGTTACATAGAGCTAAGTTACATAGAGCCAAGTTACATAGGGCCAAGTGGCACAGAGCCAAGTGACACAGAGCCAGGTGGCACAGAGCCAAGTTACATGGAGCCAAGTGGCACAGAGCCAAGTGACACAGAGCCAGGTGGTACAGAGCCAAGGTTAGGTAGAGCTTGCGTAGAGCTTCGGCGTAAGCAGCTATGTAAGTTAGTGGGATAAGTTTTGGGGGGCGATGGGGATTGTGTCACGCCTCCCCCTTCGCCTTCTTGTGTCCTTGAGAAAACTCCTCTCCTGAGTATTCTATTCGTCAGTGACGGTGGGGGAGACACATGTGAGCATTGCTCTCTGCGCGATACCCTCTCGCGTAGAGTACTGCGGTGTCCGTCCGAGATGCGCACCCAGTGCTTTCTTCCCTCAGTGAGATTGAAGCATTACATGGATGGTTTTTCCGGGCATGCCGTTTGCGGCCGGATGGTCCACACCCGTGCAATGTGTGTGATGAGGACGTGCTCATCTACACCGACGGAGAAAGGCGCCGGGGCGGGAGTTTGATCATCGCTCGGGATTGCGACCCTCTGCGGAGATTCGCGTGGTCGAGGTTCAAAAACTGAGGACTTTTTACGATTTCTGCTGGCCGCGCGCAACCCTCTGCGGAGATTCGCGTGGTCGAGGTTCAAAAACTGAGGACTTTTTTAATTTCTGCGGTGCGCGCGCGACCCTCTGCGGAGATTCGCGTGGTCGAGGTTCAAAAACTGTGGAGATTTTACGATTTCTGCTGGTCGAGGTTCAAAAACTGGGGTCTTTTTACGATTTCTGCTGGCCACGCGCAACCCTATTTCTGCGGTCCGCGCGCGACCCTCTGCGGAGATCGTGCGCGTCGAAGCGCTCTCGCTGTGGCGCCGTGCGAATTTGTCTTAGTCTCGGCGAACCCTCTGCGGAGATTGTGCGTGTCGAAGCGCTCTCGCTGCGGCGCCGTGCAATTTTCTCGCTCGCGAAACGGCCTTTGGCGCGCCTGCTCTCGCAATCCCGCGGTTGCGGGTTCGATTCCCCCCTGGTCCGCGGCAGCTCCGGCTTGAAAATCGCAGCTTTTAAGTACAAACGTAGTACGCGGAGCGTGCTCCTGCAGCTCCGGCTGGAAAATCGCAACTTTTCAGTACAGACGTAGTATGCGGAGCGTGCTCCCGCAGCTCAGGCTGGAAAATCGGAACTTTTAAGTACAAACGTAGTACGCGGAGCACACCCCTGCAGCTCCGGCTGGAAAATCGCAACTTTTAAGTACAAAAATGGTACGCGAAGTACATTCCCACAGCTCCGGCAGCACTTGCGCAGAGCAACTTGCGCAGAGTCACTTGCGCAGAGCAACTTGCGCAGAGCAACTTGCACAGAGCAATTGCACAAAGCACTTGCGCGCAAGAGCAACTTGCACAGACCAACTTGCACAGAGCACATGCGCAAAGCGCTTGCACGGAGCAACTGGCGCAGAGCACTTGCGCAGAGCAACTTGCTCAGAGCACTTGCGCAGAGCAACTTGCACTGGCGCAGAGCAACTTGCGCAGACCAACTTGCACAGAGCACATGCGCAAAGCGCTTGCGCGGAGCAACTGGCGCAGAGCACTTGCGCAGAGCAAGAGAGCAACTTGCGCGCAGCAGCCTGGAACAATGCAGCTTGCGCAGACCACTTTCGTGAGCAGTTCGAGAGGAACGTAGGATGATGAGATGGAGCTCTCATTGACCATACACACTGAGCATCGCCGCGCGCAGACACGCTCGCCGCAGCGATGTAAAAATGTGTCTCCGCGGCTGGATGAGCACCTGTGGAAAAATGCTTTCGGGCCAATTGTCCTCTAGTTAATTGTTTAAGGTTGGCTATTGCTTAGGGTTGGCTCTTCTTTAGGATAGGCCTGCCCTTGACAGAATCCTTGGCTGGGTTGGACAATTGACCCTTCCATCACCTCACCGAACCCAAGCAGGCACTTCATTTATGGGGCCTTGGATCTGGGATCTGCTTTTTCAAGGAACCACGGCGATTCTCGGGTTCGAGAGCCCAATCATTAACTGATCCAAGGGTCCAATGGTCCAACCCATTCCAGGCTTGGCAACCAGCCAAGTTTAACCCATCCCAGGCCAGCCAAGCTTCGATAGTGGAATGATCCAAGGGCCCAAAGGTCCCAACTTTCAGGACTCCATGGAGCCCGTCCAACGGTGCAACCCCCACCCAGGCCTTCAACCCGTTTATAATAGACAAAGGTTCTACGATCCAAGGGTCCAAAGGCCCCAACCCAGCCAAGGGCCAACCCGTTCACTGGAGTCTAAGAAGGAATTGAGGCAGGTGTGACAAACAGCTTCAACGGAAAATGCCACAATGATAGTCAGGGAAGTGCTGTTTTGAGGTCGCAAGGGTGCAGGGAGCAGGGAGCCAGGATCCACGGCCCCATACATCTCATGACTGTTTGGGAGCCGAATGGTGAGTTGATCCAAGGGTCCAATGGTCCAGGCTTGGCGTGCCAAGTTTAACCCATCCCAGGCCTGGCAGCCCGCCAAGCGTCAACCCGTTCACAAGACAACAAAGGTTCAATAGTGGAATGATCCAAGGTATCCAAAAAATGAACCCGCTCACTGGATTCTGAGAGCTGAATGGTGAAGTGATCCACGGGTCCAATGGTCCAACCCATCCCAGGCCTGGCAACCCGCCAAGCTTCAACGTTCACAAGACTGGAATGATCCAAGGGTCCAAAGGTGCAGGGGGTCTGACCAACACCTTCTCTGAAGGGCAGCACCTTAGATCGAATGCCTGTTTGGGTTTGAGAGCGCCATGATCCAAGGGTCCAATTGGAGCCGTGAAGCTTCCCGCAGACCCTGCAAGCGGCATTGGCAGCACGCGAGCTTTTTCATAGTGGAGCACACACTCTGCTTACTTCCTGTCCTCCGCCTGGCAAGCTCGGCACCGGGAGCCTTTGGCTCGGCCACATGCCCGTGTGTACCACAGATGGGTCTGTGACCTTGAAGCCCCGCATCTGCAGTCGCCGGAGTTCCTTGAAAGCAAGTAATGGCAGACGCAAAGCGATGCAAAGTGAGACAATGCTATAGAGCGACGCGAAGAAAGCGCATGGGACGCGCACTCGGCCCCGGCGGATAGGCGGCTTTGCTTGTCCACACTCGCGCCGGCGTCAGAGAACCCATCCTCAGCATCCAAGCAGGACGTCAGTGACACAAGCGCTTTTGCGCGTGAGAGGTTCGGCTCATTGACGATGCCACCTGTGTTACTCTGGTTGAGCCTCACTTGTCAAAAGGACCTGGAAATGAAAAGGTTAACACTGCAACATGACGGCATGACAAAAAACCGTCTAAAACGGGAC